CTTGTCTTGAAAATAGAACAGAATCATCACTTTGAAGCTTCTTTTCTTTCTTCTTCGCTACTTCATGTGCAAGTCTTGACGTGACATAATTCATCGTAAGCTCTTTCATGTTGATAGACTCTAATGCCACAATGAGGTAGTTGTAGGACTCTGAAAGGCTCATGAGCAATGTCAACACAATTTCTCTATCATCAACTAGCATGTCAATAACTGTTACTTGGTTTGCAAGTGCTTTTATCTTAGTGACATGAGCCATGAGGTCATTTCTTTCTTCCATCTTTATTGTTAAGAACTTCTTCTTTGTCCATAGAATATTAGCAAGGTTTCTACTCTCATAGATGTTACAAAGAGTCTTCCATGCTTCCACTGGTCCATTACGAGTAATTATATGTGAAAAGTTGGTATCATCAAGATTTTTTGCAATCATGCCAAAAGCCTTGCTTTCACATCACTTGTACTCGTTCTTCATCTTCACATCAACATCATCACTAAGACGCTTTTCACTTTCATCAACAATGTCTCAAAGGTCCAATGAAGCCAATAAAAGCTCCATTTTCTTCTTCCAATGGTAGAAGTTGTCACCTCTAAACTTCTTAATCACTCTCAAATTCTCACCCTCAGTTCAAGCCATGTCTAAAGAATGGATATATAAAAGAAAAAAAAAAAAAAAAAAAAAGAAAAAAGATAGAACTCTTAAAATCAACAAGAAGGTGTTGTTGCCTTAGAATCCCAGAATGCCTTCTTTGTGAGTAAACTAGCGATTTTACTCTTTGATCACTCTCAACTTCACTTATAAGACTTCTCATAAGTCTTATATACTATCTTAACCTCTCTAGCAAGCTTTGCCACTCTTTTATCACCTCTAATGTCTTATAACACCTCTTTTCACTATAAGAAGATCTATTAAGAACTTAAACACATGAAAGTTCAATGTTAGTATATCAACGAGGTAGGTCAACAAAGAAACACACCACTAGTATTCTAAAACAACATTCTAAAATGTATAACAATCTCCAAGACCATGAATGCACTTAACAACAAGTAAGAGCAAAAACTATATCAATAACTAGATGCAAAAAGAGATTTGGAAGATACCAAATTCTAATATCAGCAACAACCATAAGATCTACTCCTCATAAAAACAAAGACTTCAAAGAACTTTAAAACTCACAACTAAAAGTGAGTGGGCCCATAACCTATTGAAAAAATAGAACTTTGAAGTCACAACACATAGCATTAGCAAGGTTGCATACAAAGAAAGTATGAAGTAAGATGTCTCTCACTTCCAACATTCAATACTTATAAGTTGTGGTTGCTATCCTATAAGACAATTTCCACTCTTTGATTTTTATATACATGATCATAGGTCCTAAGATCCTTTTGCATCTAACGTATCTCGAGGATATCTTTTGGTCCTTGGATCTTTTAGTATCTTACTAACCTTAAGGGTATCCTATGCCAAATACTAATTATTCTTACTTAGTCTTTGGATATTCCCTAGTTCATACTTTATCCTCTTGATTTTGACTCTTGGTCCTTGATCTCGTCCTATATCCATAGAATATTCTTTCTATATAATTCTTTGACCATTAGCAACTCACCTAAGGTAATATCTTTTATTATGTAACTTATTCTACTTTTACTTACTTACTTCAACAATCACATGATACATTCAAAAAATACTAATAAAAAAGAAAAAAAATAAAAATATTATCTAATATTCTACATAAATAAAAGAAATAATATAATTCAATTGGTTTTTGAGATTTTCTATTGATTTAGATAATGTGATGCATCAACATTTAAAAATTAATAATTTTAAGATTAGTGTGTGACTTTTTCTGCCATGCTTAGAAGAATGACAATTTTAGCTATTGAATGTCAAAAAAGATTATATTTAAGAATAGGTTATAGTTTTTTGATTTGTTGTAATAAATATAAAATCTTTGAATCAAATGCAATAATAAAGTCTTAAAAAAATATTTGAGGTTCTAAATCAAATTAAATTTCAAATTCATTTTAGAGTAATTATTTTTAATCACCATGCATTCAACTCATCTATGAAGAAATAACACCAAATCAAAATCCCAAAACACACCAATGTAAAACACCTTTCTATAAAATAAAAAAACAAAAAACAAAAACAAAACAAATAAAAGTTGTTATGAATTTAAATTTTGTATTATTATAAATATTTGTATTCTAAATGCTTAAATAATACAAACTTTAACAACAAAAGATAAGTGAATAGTTAGCAAAAGTAATATAAGCTTATATTACAACATTCTTTCTATCCATAAAAAAATTGGATAGTATAAATTATATTATTCATTTGCAATAGAGTTGTCACTATGTTTGTATATGAACAAGAGTAAATAAATTGCAATATGTTGTGCATGTGTGTGTGTATATATATAATCTAAGTCACATCAAAAATTAAATGAATTCTTAATATGTTTCTTCTAGAAAGGACAATCAATCTGAAGTAATGTTAAAATAAATAAATGAATAATTAATTAATCAATTAAAAACTATTAGATTCAAGAATTATTTTAACATCATATAGATTTCCACGCACCGCAACGACAACGACAACAACAGCCCACAGTCCAGTGCCTCAGCAGGCCACGGAAGGTCGAAGCATCAGAGCATGGTCTGCCATGGCTTCCTCCCCCCTCCCCTGGTTACCACAATCCCCAGCCCCCTGCCGAAGCATCGTCCTTCTTCCACTACCTGATTCTTCAACTTGGAATGGGCCGAACCTACTCGCCCACAGCACGGCTCCGGATTCCAATGCGTAGGAGCCTCGAATCCAAGCATGCAGACATGCATTGCAGTCAAATTCATGGGGAATAGGATATTTCCGATTGCGTGAGCGAGGTCGTTTGCAAGGCCGTGATGGCCCGCCCCCCTGTGCCTGCAGATGCAGTTAATGGTGATGGCATCCGTTTTTTGTGCTAGTTCGCTGCCCCCACTGCCCTCGCGCGGTTTCCTTGGCTGGGCACACGTGGATCTGCCAGCGGTGCCGGGGATGCCGCTCATCTCTTACTCTGACGCACTAACATTACCTGCTCGTTGCTGATTGCCGAGCTCGCGGTCTCGGTCGTGGTAACGCAACGGGGATGGAAAGCTAAGGCTTGGTTGCGAATCCTCATCCGATGGAAAAGGAGAGCATGGACAGCCTGGTGTGCGTGACCGCAGCTCAGGTGCTCGAACAAGCAACTTCTGCTTCATTTCCTTTAGGAATTTACCCCCGCGTTTGTGAATTTTCTGAGCATTATCGATCAGCTGGCACTCTTGCCGACAGTTCCTTGGCACTGTTGGTTGCAGTTTCGTCCATGTGGCAAGTTTCGAAACTCTTGGGCCTCGTTTGAGTCGGTTAATCCTTGTGCTGATTTCCTGGCAAGCACCAGAAAATGATCCAATTCCACGTGTAAAACAGCAAAACCTACACCACGACTAGTTCATATCAGCCATGAAACATCGAGGTAGGTAAGGGTGTGTGTCAACTTGAATAAAATAATTTATATATATATATATATATATATATATAATATGAATTCAAATTGAGATATCGAGAGTAGTTTAGACCCACCACACCTCTTCGTCCCCAGAACTACCGCTTTTGGGTACACTTAAAAAATATGTGTGTGGAGAATAATTCTAAGATTGTCATTATTGTTTCAAGCATGACATTTATTGGTAGTGGGTCCAGTTCATGAATCCAAGTGTCTTCCATGCATTCCTCATTGTGTCCTGATAAAATTCTCCATATTTCCTTGTGCAAAGAATGAACATTTCTGGTGTAGGCTCCATAGCGGGTTTGGGTAAAATAGTGGTGTTCTCCAACACACATTGCTGGATACTAGGCAGTCTAGACAGTAACTATATCATTGCTTTAAGCTACAGAGATACGACGAATGGTCTCTATAGACCTAGTCAAGACCTTCAAATCAATAGTGTACAAGCTAGATTTCAAAACAAGCGGAGTCTGGACATTGATTATTATTGCCAGTCGTTTCATTTGACTTTGCTTATCAAACATGTAAAAATCAACACTGGATGTATAAATTGTTATTTCTACTAGGGAATTTAATGTTTTTTTGACCAATTTCTTCATTTTCTGTTATTTTTGCTATACGTGAATATTTGAACTTTGATTAAAATGTTTTTTTTGTCAACTGCTTTTTACTTCTTTTTTTTCAATCAACTCGGTAGAATGAGTCTGCTTGTTCAATTTATTGCAGTGAAAATAAAATAATAAGCATAAGAAAGATATTTGTTAAAACATGACATAAGTTTCACACACAGTATGTTATATAAACATATATCGTCAATGTTCCAAGGATTTATATTTTTGACACAGTAATAATTATCAAGATATCCGTAAAATAATTTAATTTATGCAAACTTGAATTAGTTATTACATATATATGTACCATTGATTTCATACTCTTAGAAATTGCAGAAATTATGCTATCAAAGTACAGATTCTCACTAATTAAGTAATCGTACCAAAATAACAATAATAACTCCTATCAAACTGCACAATAAAAACCAATCATACATTCAAGTTATAAAAGTTAGCAAAATACCAGATAGCAACTTTTCAACATTACATCCACCTTAGAATGGAAATTTTAAAGTAAATGCAACATCATGGTACTTCAAATCAAGAATCAACCGCAAAATTAAAACCGAGTAATATTAAAAACTACAAAACAACACCCTGCTGACACCTCTAACAGTACCCCAAAGAAGTCGTTGTGACCGATTAGAACCGAACCAAGGACATATAGAAAAGTAAAAATGACAAAATGAAAATTAGATATTACTGCCAATTAATAGAAATGTGATAGTATTCATTTTCAAAAACCAATTTTTTTGCATCCAAATTAAACTGGGAATGCAACTGAAAATGTCGTGGCGGGAGACACAAGCGGCGAGGGAGGTGCTGCGGCACCCGCGCCGCGGGGTTTGAAGGCCAGCCCCGCGCGCAATGCATAAATGCACGCAGCAGCTTCCCCGCTGTGTGCAGCGCTTTCGCCGCATCCCCACTTCTCTGCAGAACCTTGTTTCTCACACACCAGATCAGTTCCACAGACTGCACATCTTGCTAGTTGAGAGTCCTCGTGGCGTGGTTGAGTTCTGTGCGGATCGATATGGCGCCCAAGATGTGTGTCGCGATAGTGGTCGCGGCGATGCTATTCACCGCTGTGGCTGCGCAGACCCAGCCGGACTGCACTGCTGCAGTGCAAACCTTAATCCCTTGCTATGCATACGTGACAGGCTCTGTCGCCGCGCCTGGTGCTCCGTGCTGCCAGTCTCTCATTACCCTCAACACCAACAACCCCATTTGCTTGTGCGCGTCCGTGAGCCAGCTAGATACGCAACCACAGGTGAATCGGACCAGGGCCTTGGGGCTGGCGAAGGAGTGCAACGTTGCCATCGACGCTGCGACCTGCCCAGCTTTGGCTACACCGCCCTTGCCTTCTCTGCCTCCTACTCTGCCTCCTCTGCCTGCGGTTCCTCCCACCATGTTCACCCCTCCCGCCGGCCCAGTGTCTGGTCCCAAGCCCAGCACTCCCCCAGCTGCGTCTGGACCCTCTTCTGGTGGCGCCGTCCCTCCTGCGGCGTCCGGCAGCCCTTCATCGGGTGCGACCTCTCCTGGTCCCTCTCCTCCTTCTTCCGGAGCTTCGGCGATCAGATTCTCACTTGCGCTTTGCGTGGCTGCCGTAGGAGTGCTTGTTCTGGCGTTTTAATGTGACTGGGTGACTCATCCTTCATAGGTAGTAGGTTCTTTTGATTTGTTCAGTCGGGGGTCAACTCTGCTGAGATTCATTCATTTATCTTTGGTCAATAAAATGGGTATTTTAATATTTCATATCGTGCGTTTGCAATGTCCTCTTGCATATTCGTTTTGTGCAGGACCTGGAAATGGTTCCTCTGTTTCATCTTTCTATTTACTTGCTATTACGAGAATATGTGTGAACTCAGGATCCTTTATGCATCATCTCTTGGTTGACAGTGCGTACTCTCTGAAGATGGACACATCTTTCACCTCAAGCGGTGTACTTAATCGGTAGTAGTCGTGGTATGGGATGGCATACGCTAGCTTGCTCTAGATTACCACGTTTGAAGGATGTGAATCGCGGATTTCAACTGTTAGGTCAACTACCACCAGGCGATTGGATTCTGTTATCAAACATCAGAAATTGTCGGCTAACAATGGTGTTGATGTTGGAGGTAGACTGGATGATTGCACTTATGGCGAGGACGTAGTGGGACGGATGCGAATCCATTAACTTACTGTGTTGGCAATGGTCTTATGACTAACTGGGTAGTATACCTCTTCACATCTACCTGTTCGCATCCCAATCCTTCTAGTTAGAAATTGACCCTCTTTAAGAACCTTGATACGTGAAGATAAACAAGTGAGTTCAGGAGCAGAGTTCGCCAAGCGCTGCAAGAGAGTGGGAAAGTAGTTAAATGCTGCCGAGGGCCCTTCATCCCCTTCGGCCGACGCTGGTAATCCCTGGCATTCCTACTCAAGTGAAAAGCACTTCAGTAATTCCGCTAAAGTAGCCGCGCCAGAATGTTATCCGCTTTCAAATGCGATGAGTGGCTGTTTTGCCGAGACGTCAGTGCTAATGGGGCTTGATAGACAGTAGCACAAGATAACTCTCGAATCGTTCGTGAAACCACGGAATCCACTCGGGCCCTGTTTTGAACAGTCTAATTTTGTGGCATGCGGTTCCTTAGATTTTTTAAACTTCAGACAGTGCAAACACGTTAATCGTACTTGTAGCCATGGTAATATGTGTTTGTGTGAATCTCTCTGAGGTTTGTGTCGAAGTCGGCAGGTTTCCCATTTTTCTGGATGGAAGAGGGATTCAGTGTTTGGTCGGTTGACATTCTCAATTTCTCTGAAAATTGTATCCAGTCCACGTCTTTGATTGTCTGCAGCACGAGCCATTTTCCTGCCTCTTTGAGCCGTCAAAGTAGAAACCGTTACGTTGTCTGTTTGTCAGCCATTGAGAGCAGATCCGCGGGACATGAATATAGTGAGCTAAGTAGACATCTTCATTATCAGGGGGTCATTAGAAATTAGAGCTTACGACTACAAGTCTGCAAATTAGAAGATCTCTGTAGACTGCCCTCTTGAAGCAGAGTGCATTCCATTGAAAGCTACCCTCATGGCGGCACCAGCACGGGATATCGTAGACCCTCATGTCTATGTAAAGTTGGATCCTATGAAAATTGAGGCTTTCCAAGGCTTACAGCAGCTTGTAGGCTCCAATCAGATCAAAAAAGACCGCGCCGAGTATGTCCAATCAAAGTGAGTCAACAAAATTTGAAATGAAATAAATCCGTCTTACACACATTATGATGCAGCAAATTGTGTTCACGAATGTCGGACACGTCCATACTTCATGATGGTCTTGAAGCAAGTTATCTATCCATTTGTGCAGATTCGAAGATCTTCGCAAAGCTCTCGCAAAAAAACTAAAGGACGAGAGAAAGTTAAATGCTGACATTGGGGAGTTGGAAGAACAGCTTAAGGTCAAAATATTTTTCTCCGCTCTTGGAATACTCTGATTCTTGACTTTTCTGACAATGGTTGCCAACTTCTTCACCAAGTACAGTATTAGGCTGGATGATAGGTCGAGAATATTGCATCATTCCGCAGAGATTCGCGCGGGGTTGGCACTGCTAGGATTTTGAGCTTCGTACTTCACAATTCCATCTTGCTAACATAAGTTGAAATGATAGTGATGTAACAATAGCAGTAGTAGAAGTTCAAATACTCCAGGGAAGTAAGAAATGTAGGGGGGATCTCATGGGAATTGCAACTTGGTGTGGCAGAGAGCCAAGACAGACCTGGCAAGGATGACAAAGCAGGGCCAAGAAGACGGAGTAACAGTGCAGTTGGTTAAGGAGGATGCGGAGCGAGCCGAGAGCGAAGCCGCGGTTGCCAAGTAGTTGAATTCATTCCTTGTTGGTTTCTCAATTCTCAGTGTTCACCTTTGTTTGCTGTCTAGACACAAAGGATTATTACAATCCTGAAAGAATTCCCCAGAACATCAGCATGAGTGATACCGAGGAGTTCATCCTTCCCCAGCATGAATCTATTCATTGAGCATCGCACATCTTATACGTCCAGAGAGAAGGAGCAGCTCCTGATGCTGGAGTCTATGGAGATACAGCGGATGCGGGATGACTACAAGAAGAAAGTGCACCAGATCGAATTCGACTTCTTCGTGGCCATGACTCCACTCCTGGAACGTATGAAAGTTAGTCCTCTGTGTGTGCATGACATACTGAACCCCAGTTCTTCGGTATCATTTTCATGTTTGTGACCTGCGTCGTGTCGTGGATTCTCTTACCTTGCGCCCAGTTTTTAGATAAGAATGTGGTTGTTATGACCATTGTTCGCTCAAGGGAAATCAGGAATGATAAACAAAATAAAAAGATATCCAGCTTGAATTATAGCGAGGTTCATATAGGGTCAATCACTGGGTTTAAGCAGATGTAGTGTGTAGACTAAGAAAGGGGGGGGTCTGCAGTTGGAGATAAAAGCCGCACAAGATCAGACCGTGGAGAATATCGTCAAGCAGGGACAAGCTAAAAAGGAGGTGCGCTCACTCATGTAATTTATGCAACCCTATCTCAAACATTCAATAGCTGATTCCCCCTCTCTGGACGGTACTGAAAGCTCTCAAAAATTCTGCAAGAATTACCTCTTGAAGTGCGCCGCGTGAGAAAATCCACCACCTAAGGTGGAGCTGAGTTTACTGTATTCCTGGCAGAGAGAGGACGCAGAGGCCCGACAAAAAGAACTAATTGAAGAGGTCAGATTGCTTCACATCACGAAATCGGATGCTGTGAACAAATTGGAGAGTCTATATGGACTGCCAGAGAAGCTAGTAAGGCAGGTAAATTACATTATCACCTCTTAACTATGCATAGAAACTTCATATAGTCCTAGCATAGAACGTCGCAATTTAAGACACGTTTTGCTATTCGATTTGGATTAATTGCCTCTGCTCTATATCAATGTGGGGCTCTTATTGAATCTGCAGTGCGATATCCTGCTAAGTGCGCTCATTTCTGTTAAAGCACAAAACGTCAAATGGGATGGAAAGGTACAATCCTGTTGTCCTGATCTTTCAACTAGAATACTGCACATAGACATTGACCTTACATGCTAACACATTTGTGCTCAAGAGATCACTTTAAATGCTTAAGATGTTGCAAATTGAGACGTTGACATCACTTAGTCAGGTCAGAGAATTGGAAGCAGCAGACGTAAGCATAAATCAGACGCTGAAACACAGAAGTGAAGAGCTTCCAGGATTGATGGCGGCCTGTGATAAGATTAAGGCTCAGACTGAGGACAAGGTACTATCCATGTCACTAATTCTTTTACTTGTTCACTACAATGCTGACCGTTCAAGGTACGACGAAAGATTTTTTTTCGTATTTCAGCGAAACACATCAGTTTTATCCATTCCTGTATGAAAAGCTCAGCCGTAACTGGCACAACTATAATTGGATAATAACGGTGCAAGCAAACTTGACATGTTAGGGAATCAGCATGAGATTCAAACCATCTATGTGACAACACATTATAGTTTCTCACTGTACACCTTAGCTCATGCATGGTGAGTGTTTTTCTGCTGGGTACGCTGTTTTAGCATGGTCCATACTCGTTTGATAAGAAAAACTGCAGTGTTCGTTACTAAGGACAATATCATCTTCAGTACAAAAAAATCACCGCAAATGTTGGTGCATATCCATATTGCTGAATAAGTTGTGTTAAGAACTGATCTCCGTAGGAACGCATTATTGCTGACATTGAAAAGGAGATTCATACCATCGGTCAACAGGTTGATGAATCGCTTGGGGACCGGGTAAATGACCACCTTTCCGGAGCTCTTGTTTATTGCACATTCACCATATTAAGAAAACCACCGTTGCACTCCAGGCTATAAGCATTCAAGAGCTGAGAAGATTCAACTCATCACCCATGCCAATCTCTATAAAACCTCCTGCGCACAAATAGAATTGTGAATAACAGTCGTTCCTTCTCTGAGGAATCAACGTGATGGTCGGACAGGTACAATTGGACATGCAACTGATGGCCAAATTACATGAGCTGAAGCATCAACACGACAAACAATCTAATTCAGCGAAAGAAAGAGATAGAGCTCTCATCTCGCTTAAAAACAGGGAGGATTTGATTAATAAGCTTCGGGTTCAGATACCTGTGCTCACGCAAGAGAGGGATGGAGTCTCTCGTGAGGTACCATTAATTACTCATAAAGCCCTTAATATTACGGTGGCAAAGATGCTTCAGTTAATTCACACATTCACTGACAACCGATGACCGCATGTCCTGTCATGCATTACAGTTAGAAGCTGTAGGAGCACTCTTACAAACGTGGGAAGTGAAGCTGGTGGAGATCAAAAGGGAAGTCAACGAGATTCTGGAATTGTCCAGCGCCACAGATGAGAAGGCCAAAGAATTGATCCGCATCGTCAAAGGAAATGCGGAGACGGTATTGATTCCTGGATAATCTCCGCAATCCATACAGAAGACCTCCTCGTCCATCCCCAGCTCCCTAATAGTTTGCTTCTGTAACGTGTTGCCGGTTTGTGTAGTAACTGGTTACACTTCAATGGGCTAGGTGGATGAGTTGGAGGTAAAGATACATGGGTTGGGAAAAGAAGATAGGAAGAACACTGGAAGGATTTCCGAACTCTCTAATGTTCGGGAACGCTTAGCTCGGACTGCAGCTGCCAAGGTGATTCACAGCCCTAGCGCATTCTTCGTCATTACAATCTGCGTATTTCTTCTCGATTCTTGAGTTCTATCCCTGAATCTCATAATCCTGTGAAGAGCTTCAATTTGGATTTTTGAACAGATTGGATTGTGATGTTCAACAGCATTCGCAATGGAGGGAGACACTTTCCAAGATAGATTTTGTTAAAAACTTCAAAGAAAATTTTGAAAAAAGACTGGTGGAGGTTATAAAGGAACACAACGACGCTCTTGCTCTTAACGGTGTAATGCGTAGCCAACGCAACAAATTCGCCAATCTCGTCACGGTCTGTAAATGTGTTGAACCATTGTGACCCTCTTGATAAATTTTACAGTTTACTTATTGATTGATCCACCCATTGTCCTTAGAGCTGCTCATAAAATCTTTGGACTTTGTCTGAATCAGGCCAGTGCAATAACAATACTTGAAATGAAAGATAAGATCGTGAAGTTAACAAAGGAAGTGGAACAGTTCCAAGATAAGGTGACATACAGGGTGAATGTGCTTGCGAAATTGCGTAAAGGAAACGCAGCCAGCATCAAAGAACACATCATCATAGCAGAAGCAACTGCCAAGTGTGTCGGCGTCCTTAAGGACAAGAAGGTCCTTGCTCTGCACAATATCCGATACACTTTTCTCTTAGGGAGACCTGCAAATGACTGAATAGTGGATTTCTAAATTGATGTGATTAAATGCATGGGCCTTCAATGACCAGGCCATTGCTGAAGAGCTTGCAGCAGAGATGACCACACTGCAAGAGAGGATCAGCAAGGTTGAGAGAGATATGATAAGAGCAAGGAAAATTTACAAGACCACTGTGCAAGATCGAAACAAAGTCGGCATAATGCTCATTGATCGTAACGACGAGCTATGTATCCTATACGAAAAGAGCAACGTCCAGGTTCTATAACAGAACTCGCCTCCTAGCACTCACTGCAGCGGACAGGTTGAGAGATGAGGTCCTGCACCTTGCTTGCTGCTCCCCTGTAAGATATTTTCTCTTGGTGTGCTTTCAGGTGGAGCTTCTGGATAGTTCAGAGGTAGAGCTGTTGAAACGCAAGGATGAGGTCAAAGTGTTAAGGCGAGAGTGCAATTTAATGCACAAAGCCATCATCATGGAACAAAAAATCGCTCCAGATCCTACATCTATCTACCGAGAACTAGCCAGTCTTAAAGACCAGGTTACCCTTAACCAAACTCTTTGTAATGTCTCGCATTCCGCAAATAAATCTTGGTTTTATTACCTTAGAACGACATGACCAGCTCCCGTCAGAAAAAACCGAGGATGGTCCTTGTTAACGTATAAATTAGGTTCGCTGAATGTATTTTCAGGTAGTAAGTTTGGACTGTGTGACACAGATGACGGAAGCTACTACAATGGTAGTTCAGCTCTCCGAGCTGGTGGAGAATCCTGAAAACCTGAACAGATGGCGAGTACTTCCTGGGAGGGATTACAACTTCCAAGAGCTCACTCAAAAGGCCCAGGCCGTGGAAGAATTCTTGTCCGCAAAAGAAGACCAGGCGTATGAGAAAGACATCATCCTGCAGGAGGTTCTTTTTACCAGCCTTTAGGTTAAAGCATCTACAGCACGAGTAAACCATGGTGGAAAATGTGTAACAAAGTTTGTATGGAGCCCAGGGCGACATGAGTACGCGCACATGTTTGAGTCCGGTTCTTGAGCATTCAAGTGTGTCCAATTCTTTGCTTGTCGTGTTGCCTTCAGGTGACGGTGCTTGCAGATGATTTGATGCGAAAGGTAGCCTTAGCGCGACCCGAAAGCCAGAAAATAGGTTTCCAATTCAATAAATACGTCCGCGAGTTAACAAAAGTATCCCGTCAGATTATGGCAGCTGTTTCTGAACTGTCGCTTGTCCAGGTAACGGCCATCAAACCACTAGTTCTGTAGCATGATCAAGATATATTATACATGACAACACAGCGTCAGTGCCGCCTCTGGAATCTTACAGCACAGGAGCAGTGTATACCTAGCATGTTGTATGATTGTGAAGAATGATACCTATTTTTTGTCCACTACAAAGTATTATTGAGAAAAACGAAATGAAAACCACATAAACGTGTGATAAGGCTTGAGACAAAGGTGCACCATAGTATAGTTGATCGGTTAGGAAAAGGATGGAAACACACATTTCAAGATGTAACTGATAGGTCGGATGTTGAAACTCGCAGGCTGTATCCATAGGAATGAAACAAGAAAGAACAACAGCTCAGTACAGTGTTGACGATGCGTATGTGAAGCTAGAAAAAGGCCAGGTAACTTAAATCTGACGCATTGTTATTTTCCTACACAAGTGGTGAGAATCGAGTATGCCGTACTTCAAACCCATGATCTCGCACTTGGCAACTCCCTCAGACACTACTGTATTGTGTAGAACTTTCTGCAATCAAGTATTCATGAAATGAATCTTTAAGTCACTAGTACAGAACCAGTACAATTGTCGGGAGATGTATACCTATATAGCCGGGTGACATTTGGATAATCATAAAGCAGATTCCCACAGAGAAGATCGAGAAGCAATGGCAATCCTACTTGTGGCAAGTTGAAGTGATCCACAGGATGAAGGCTGCGAAAGGAAGATTATTGGAACAAGATGAGAAAGAAAAATATGCTCACATTCAGAAAAAGCCCACGTAGTTTTCTCCACTCTTGTTCCTCTGAACTCTCGTAACACGCAGGCTGCTCAGTTGGAAATCAATCAGTTAACCTAGTATCTCAGCATTACTAAAAAATCCGAGCAACAAAACAATCACTAAATTATACTAATTTCGTACTGTGTACACAGAACTAAAACAACTGCACAACAGAGACCTAATGCATATATTTCTGAAGAAAACCTTGGACTGCCAACACCATTTGGAGGCCAAACACCCTTCAGAGCATCAGAAAGGGCAAGCATTTTGCGTTATATGCCCAAATCTAGTGCCAGTATTGTTCAAGATTGAGAAGATGCTGCTGTTATTTTAAGCTTTTATCCTCCACGAGCTATGTTCTATCCGTCTGGAATTCGAACTGCCACAACCAGAGACCTAAGCACACATCCTTGTCATGGCTAATGCAGCGGGCTTCAACCTTCAAATCTACACTCATCATTTCAGAAGTTCGTTATCAACCTTATGAGTTGGTAAAACCCCTCCACCACTCAAATTACAGTTAGCTATCACCTTCAACAATCGCTGATTGTACACAGCATGCCGCCAATTGCAACTTCAGCTGCTATTTCATTCATTGGTATCAGACCAAGAATGCTGACATCTTGACCTGAGCAACTGGCTTATTGATACACAATGCAGCAGCTGCTTCCTATCTACTAACCAAAATATTGTCCCAAGTATAGCCACATAACAAATATGGGACTTTTTAAAGCAGGCCCTTCGTCATATTCATCAGCTTTCCACGCCAACGTATTAAAAAAGCTGAGCCAATCAAGGGGCATGTAGTGACTAATGCTAAGTACATAAGGAGCCAAAGATTTCTTCTATTTTGAGCTGATACCAGAGCAAGCTCCGAATTCCAACTTCCAGCCTGCAGAACCCGCTTATTACTGCCTCGAGAGACAACTTCCTGCTCATGTGGTTGATCCGTAAAGTTCCTCCCCGAAGCACTGCTGCAGGGCTCTTGATCATCCACTCCAGATCTTTGGTGAAAATTACAAGTCAATGCCAAGTTTCTTGCCTTTTCTCCGCAGCGTTTTAGTGCAGATACAACTGGATACTTAACCGGCGCTTCAAAATTTTGATGCGGAGATATCTGGAAAGTCAAAACAGCTGACAGCTTCAATTGGCCCATCAATGCCTCTGCCGCAGTATACTCTACTCCTTTCATGGGAGTATCTTCATCTTGGACATTGGTGAGATTCAAATGCTCAGAAGATATCGTCGCTGGTTGGTTTGCCTGTAGCTGCAATCAAGCTTTAGTCAATTGAACAAACCATAATCACAGAAGCGGGTCGGTTAAACATTCACCGAGTAAAGGCGGACTTCGCTCTAACGTGTACTGGATTACAAGAAAACCATTTATACCATTTTACTGAGAACATCATTAGCAGCGTACATTTGTGATCAATTTCCACGATAACCTAAAACATTTAAAATAGGGTCCCGACTAGCACAGCCAAGGATTTATTTAACAGGTAGCACAGAGCAGGCACTCATCACAAAGCTACAAACGACGACCCAGAGAGGGTACGAAGGACAAACCTGTGGTAATAATTGCGAGAGCGCTGATTGCATAGCAGTAAGTTCTGACTTTTTCTTGAACGTGAGAGTGACCGCCGCTTCATTCGGTAAAACTTCGGATGTTTCAACCTCCCCAGTAGCAAGAGCATTATCTTCTTCATCTCCAGAACCCAACTCATTCTCATATTTTGCGTTCCTCTCATATACTGAGACTCCACCTGTGACAATTCATCTCTTAGAGAATCATAAATACAGTAAAGAGCCTACGTGATATTCTATCGATAATCAGAAAGCAGAAACATGATATTTCAAACCAGACACTTGGCTGCATTTACAACAATCAACTTGTAACAGTATGTGAATGTTATTTAAAACCTGTTACGGCCAAGCTTGATAACTGTGGATCCTCTGAGGCCACCTGGCCACTGCTTGATGAACTCAAGTGAGGTGTCTTTAGATCTGATTCTTCATAGGTTTCCAAGACTGTTCCTGAAATCTGAACTATTAAATGAAAATTATTAGTCTGCACGTGATAAACAAATCGACACTCCTTGTGTCTGTAAGAACTGCGCTATGTCACGACCGACAGATTGCTCATCAGTAAAGTTTTTTGGCTGCCTCATGGAACTAGTACAACGAACTCTATTAATGTAGTTGCGACAGTTAGTCCAGATGAGGGTAACAGTCACAAAAGAGCTACGAAAGCTCGCAACAAGTAGCTTTCAACGCCTACCTTCTGTGGTGTATGCATGAGGTTGCTGGATATCATAGCTGCCATGAAATCCGTTAAACCTCGCACCCACCTACACAAGATACATGTGTATCAGTCAGGGAAGGAAAGAGCAAATAATGTGCAATACCTTGGAATAGGGGCGAGAAAAAAACCCTACAACTTCTTACTCCACAAAACTAGCACAAGTAAATAAATACCATATTGTTCGAGCTGTTAAACCTTCAAAGTATGCAAGATGGCTTCCATGTCTTGTAACTACCATAATCACGTTTGGATTCGCCCTGCAAACATAGAAAGCCCTGATTGATGATGGTGACGAAAACATAGGATCCAAGATGAAATAAGAAAGTTTAGATGAACATCACAACTCTGATTTGCACTTTTGAGCTAGTTTAAGAAATGCAATTTCTTTCCTATACTCTCCAAAACTTGTCCTCGAGATGCGTCTAATACACCCTTAATACATGTTGATTCCTTCATCACTTCATCATCCATTGCTTTGCAATAAATTCAAATTGAAGCCATAAAAGAGATGCATTTGAAGGGGTAGTACTCACGTGACTTCATCCCAGGGTATAGCTTCATTTGTACAAATGGGATCATCCAGAGCACTAAAGCAGAGCAAAGGAACTGCAACCTTTGTCAAATAATCGGCACTACAAGTTCGCCGGTAGTAAGTATCTACAGTCTGTGCGACAATTTCAGTGTGAAGCAAAATCACAGGTAAGATGGTTAGATCTGATTTCACGAGTGGCCTGTTAATAGTGAAAGGTGCATTAGGTCTTAGAGTTCAAAAAACGCCCTGACATGAAGTCGACAACAGTAAAACATTTATTGGAAAAACCAGGCACTACGACCTCAGAAGATGGAAGTCAAAAACTTGCGAAATGATCATTATACACCTAGACGACGCAAAACTGGGTCATTACCTCGTACTTCCCAGTATGCCGGGTAAAATGGTGATCAACTTCATAAATACTCTTGCTCTGTAACCAACACATTAATATCAAGGGGAAAAAATCAGCTCAATGGCCATACTAAAACAATTAAGAGGCACACCACACAAAAGGCTTCAAGAGAATGTAGTCAATCATCAGACAAATTGACGATGTTTATGATATTTCAAACGTGCATACGCAGAACATGCTTGAAGGTGCACAATAAATAGCACCTGATTTAATTTGTCACCGAGATCACAAGAGCATCAAGGTGAACACCCTTTCGGGATTAAGCAGGTAAGTCTGATGAAATCCATTTGTAATAATAGATATTCAACTTTTGAGGGATGCTGATAAAACAGCATGTATAGGCATGAATAGACTTACCTTCATGACATCTCTCCATTCTGCTATTTGACCAATCGCAAGGTGGTGCCTTCACGTGTGACCACCTCAAAATCAGCAACTAAGCAAGTCTAAATGAAACAAATCGTTCTCTGACAAGAACACATACATTCAGCCAGAGCCTTAATTGATAACAAATATTGACAAAAAAAAAAAAAAAAAAAAAAAAAAAAAAAAAAAAAAAAAAAAAAAACAAAAACAAACAAACAAACAAACAAACAAACAACCAGAAAATAGAATTCTCTCTCTCTCTCATGTAAGTAGACAAGACAAGAGGAAGCAGCAACTTGGATGGCAATCAAGCTACCCTAAACTTCAACACCATGTTTGACACAAAATAAATGAATAAAGAAAAAAAATTAATACTAGGTTTACGTGCTTACGTTCCAAGATACTTGATCAAACAAAAAGCTAGCACTCTGTTATAAAGTTTTTGAATGCCCTTCCTGAACAGAAATCTGTTGCAAATCTGCAACGAACAGAAAATGTCAGTATTATCAGATTGCTCTCAAACAATTTTCACCTTTCATATGAGTGGCATTATAATATCAACCAAGAATTCCAATGATGTCCCGCGTCTAACATATGAAATGAATGGAATATGGCCTTACAACGCACCAGAAGATCCCAAGGACAATTAACAGCTGCAGCAGCACCAACAGGAGTAGAAGTGCCTTCTTCCCCAAGATACTTCACCTGGAGTTTAACATTCGATACAATTATACCTCTAACAAACATCAAGTACCAGTTTAAGCTAATAAGCCCACTCCTAAGACCGAAAATCAAAGTACCCAAACTGAGACTTGATATTCAATGATAAAAAAAAGTCTTTTTCAAACGAACGTCATAATAAAGGGAGAAACATGACCATCAGTAAATAATTTTAAAACTACTTGACTATTTCAGCATCATCTTTTCTATCAAACTCATCAGCATCTCCTGCGAAAACCCTCCTAGCCAGTAAGTTCTGTAGCATACTAGAACTCAGAATCTCGTCAAGGAGACCAGATCCCAAGCCTAAGATTCTCATGAAAAGAAAGACGAAGAACTACAACAGCAATGGCACTAACAAACAACTCCATGTAGTTACCAGTATGTTAGCACCGATACTTGTGCCAATAGTAAAAATAGGTGCTTGTGGATATTTCAAATAGACGTGGTTGATGATTCTTCGTAAATCTTCAGTCCATCCCGCATTATAGAACTGATCCGACTAAACAATCAACAAAAGATCCAGTTCAATTACTTTATTGCAGTACAATTCCCTCAATCGAAACTCTTATCCAAATATTCACGCGCAAGAAATTGGAAATGCAGAGGAAGAGTAATGTAATCTGTCTAGCTGGGGCAGAAAGAGCTCGAGTTGGACTGTTTGTCAGTATAATACGCATGAACTTACAGTAATAGATACACCTCCAAGTCCACGATGATTTACGATCAATGCCCTCCAGCCCTTCATGGCGGAACTGTATGCAATATGCTTCACATACTGGCCACACCTTCAAATTAATACGCCAAGCAAACGGCACATACATATTTATAACAACTTTTCTGAACGAGTTCACCTTTTGCGTTTGAACATTAACTTCCCATCACGATGCAATCAATAGCATACAAATATCAAATAATCACCATTGACAATTAAGATGTTCATACATGGTGTGATTACCGGATCATTCGATTCACTAGTAAGACCTGGGATGATGATGACAACTGGTAACTCTTCCGATTTTCTGATAGTACGACCCCTAGCGATGCCATTCTCGTTCTGACCTGCATGCAAATTTCCCAATCGCTCATTGTAATACCATCAGACGATGCGACCGACTTCCCCAACTCATATTTGAAAATCTACAGAAAGTCATACCCAGAAGTGGTTTGACCCAGTCCAGCGCTATAGTTCCTTTATCTGGCGTTATGAACAGCTCCCTGCCAAAACCCCAAAGTACCACATTACATTAAATGGCATTCATACACAATGTCTTCAGTAATGTTCAATTATCAGCTCTTTCAGCTATGAAATCACGTCATGTAATTTTCAACACTCACCGATGGTATTCGATCTGCGGCGGGTTCCCTATGAAATGAAGAAAAGCAGTTTGAAGATGCGGACTACTTAGCCATGGTGTTGCACAGAACCTAGCACATAAAATTAACATGTAATCGGGTGCAATTTTCTCAACGAGACATAAGCGCAGACCGTTTTGCAAATCAGAACAGCTGAACCAGAGTTGAGTTCATACAAATCATGCATATCCATCCCGAACATGTGAGGCACTTGAGATATGCGGCGGCTAGTATCTTAATTCACCTTCTTTTCAAATTTTTGCACAGTGGTAGTATGTGTTCAGCTAATTCGGACTCCAAACAATAATGAAGGAGGGGAATTTCGCCCCTAAATCCTCGCAATAAGTCCTCGATGAAATGAAACTCCATGTTGCGATAAAACACCATCAAAATCAGGCCAAATGCCAAGACCGCGTACTCCCAAGGGGAAACAGAAACAGCTACTTCCGCAACTTTCGTAAGCCCAAAGCTGGTCCGTTCTACGACGGACTCCTCCCAATTCTCCATCCCGTCAAAAGTTCTTGTCCACCTGCGTCCGCTACTTCAATCTTGCATCCACACTAAGAGATACGATCGCAAGAAAAAAGATATATATATATATATATATATATATACACATATACTTTACCACTAGGAAAGGCAGCACAAGACCTCGCATGAACATTCAAAACGAATCACAAATATAATCAGCTGCTAGGAACTATTTGTGCAAAATCAGAATTAAATAAATCATCGATAGATGCTGGAAAAAAATAAGAGATCCAACAATCCACTAATTCCTAAACCCAAGGATGAACCACTCAGTTTCAATGGCGACAACACACTCTACAGCACTAAACGAAGCAATTCCTGGTCCACACATTTCAATAAAAGCTCAAAGACAAGTTAAAAAAAAAAAAAAAAAAAAAAAAAAAGGCATAACACAGACAAAGAAGAACCCAAAGAAATTCACGTGGATCATAGTTTGAAGTGCCTCTCAACAAACAAACCGAATTCGAGCCACGGCGAGTACCGAGCAAAGGAAGTTGAGACCTTACGAGCGAGGTGAGTTTGGTGGCTATGGCGTGACGGGCCGGGCCGGGGGATGAGTTGGAACTGGCGGCCTGGATTGTGGTGACAAGGTGGACGACATGTGGCATCCGCCACGTCCGCCTTCCCATTTCCTCTTGCCGTTTGTTTTCATCCTTCCATTTGGATGTATTTCATCCATATTCGCCATCCATGTTATACGAATATCCCTTCAGGGAATGTATTGAACTTGAAAGAAAAAGAAAAAGAAATGGTGGTGAAAGAGATTCAAATAAATGGCGAATACTAGCTTTTCAGCTGATCACAGTCCTGATTTAGTATTAGTTTTTTTGAAATTTTTTTTGACTTGATTAATCTTAGGTGCAAGGTGAGGTTCCTACAAGAAGTGTGCCTTAGAGTCGTTATGTTATTGAGCTATATTAACTAATTTTAAGATTGTTCTAATGCCACGTTTAGAAATTTTAAGTGCCTAATGTATATTTCAATGGTAGGGTTGTGGCGATATTCTAATGAAGCGTCCAACATACCATCTACTTTTAGATCTTTCTAGTTTTAAGGATCAGCTGTAGTCGTATATCAATAATACTTTGCAACAAGGAGACTGGAGTTTTAATTCCATCCAACAAACCAATGCTTGGAATTGTGATAGACTAAAAGAGCAATATAATTCATGTGATCTTAAGTGGTGAGTTGTGGTGAAGCAGGTAACTAATGAAGAAAAAATGAAGAGTTGAGAATGATACAATGGAATTGCTTCAAAATAATGTCCAGAAAGAGTCAAAAATCGGCATCCAATGAACCAATCTCACTTGTGATCTCAGTCAAAAAGGACTATTAAAGAATTCAAAAACTTACATTTTATATATTATATGGACTCTTAGATTTATTTAGTGCCTTAAATTGACTAATTGAACAATACGTATTATTAACTAATTGAACAACATATATTATTGACTAATTGAATAGCACATATTATTGACTAATTGAACAGCGCATATTACTGACTAATTGAACAGCGCATATTACTGACTAATTGAACAATACACAACTTCAAATTCTCGAATTAGTAGGCTCATTTCTTATTAGCTGCCACAATTGCTATAAGCACATTTATTTATATTAATCTTATGAGTTTTTAAATTACATCTTTATTATGATATTCTTGACCAACATGGTTTTATTGGAATTTTAAAAGTATCGGAAACCACAACAATTGCCTTATGAAAATCTAATTGTAAGAATTTCAATTCCTACTTTTATATGATATTTTTTATGTTCAATTCCATATATATATATATATATATATGTATTTACATATGTAAAGTGATAAATATTTCTCATAAATATTTTTAAATAAATATTTTTTAGTTTATTTATTCATATTGATTTATATAATATAATATAGTTGTGGAGAGAGATTTTGTCTTGAAAAAAAAAGAAGCCTTTAGTTGCTACTAATTATCTTTTTTTTTATAAAAAATTTTAAAAAATCATATACATCATTTAATAAAATATAAATCTTTTATAAATTCTTTTGCTTTTCATATTGTCAACAAATCCATTTATTAAATATTTATAAAATAAACACAAGAGAGACCAAAACCTTCTTTCAAAATCTTTATATCTTTCTATAAAGAAGGTTGTTATTCTTTCAAAATCCTAAATTTTACTTCCAAATTCTAAATCTTAAATTTTATTTTATTAGAAGTTTTTTAATTTAAAAGAATAAAAAATTGGATTGAGGATTGATGTCATCAAACTTTAGCCACCACCAACTTGTGGCTCTTTCTTTTTTTAGGAAAAGCCATATACCAATCTATCAAAAAAATGAATATATAGAAGGCATAGGCGTCATATATTATGCTATTATTAAGAGAGATTTCTTGCTCTTGCCTTTTAATTTATAAAAGTGTCCTCATCACCCAACATAACCTCCTAATGTAAGCATTGCAGAGCCAATCTTCTAGATATTCTTAATATATAAATTAAAGATTTTTTTTCTCTCCCTCCTTCGTCCATGTACCACCATAGAGATTTGAATCTAGGACCTCATATGTGCCATCCAAGCACCTTATCATCCATCCTTCTCCACAAGCGCCAAGTCATGACTTAATGTTCAAAGTTTTAATTCTTCTCCTTTTAAGCTTGTAGCTTAATATTTTATTTTTGTTTATTTATTTTATTTTTTTTTAATTTAAAAAATTAAAATTTTTTCTATAATTTTTTTTACACCTATCTATAGCCCTACAAAGAGCATATCTACCAAATTTCATATTAAATAGCTATAACTATAATTAATTATCTTAAATTCTAATTTTTTTTTCTACAAACTTAGTTTTTTTAATAACTATGACACTTCTTACTAATAAAATTCATACACCTATATTATTTATTTATTTATTTATAAATATATTTTTATTAAATTATTCTAATTTATAATTTAATTATTTTTTAAAATATTTTATTTAATAAAAAATATAAACTAAAAACAAGTGTATTTTATAATTCTTATCTAATTTTTATATATTGTGTGCAAATATGATACAACATCCACCTCCTCCAATCCTACACATCTTTTGGTATGTACCATTAATCCTTCTGATTTTTTTCAGATTCTATTAATATTGCTTTGAATTTTTGAACTTCTTGATTTTTTTCTTCTTCTTGTTATAAATAGCCAATATAATCTTCTTTATTGAATCTTGTATCTCTTTGCTTAAAAACCTTTACTCTCTTCTTTATCATTGGATTTTTAATAATGGTTCTATCTAACTCACACAAAGAATACGTGACATTGTCATAGATTATAGTTATTACATAAGGTCCAAACCACTTTTTTGCAAATTCCTTTGCTATGCTATGTTGATGGATTAAGCTACTATTATAAATTAAAATCTAGTCTCCAACTTCCATAGATATAAGTTTTAACTAGTAAGTCTTATCAAACTTTTCTTTATTCTTTAATCAAGTTTCTTTTAATATCTCTTTTTTTATGTCTAATTCTTCTGATAATCTCTCTAATTGTTAAATTTAAAGTTTTAATAAGTTTTTCTTTTTAATTCCATCTTTCTATGATAAAAAAAAATTTATGTAAAATAATATTTTTCAATTGGCATCATTAGTTTATGCCTAGCATCAACTCAATGGGCATATAAGTGGTTATAAGATTATAAGAAGTAGTTTCAAGATTATAAGAAGTAGTCAATTTTAATTGAGCTCCATATCTTTTAAAGAATTTCTTAACTTCTATTGTATATAATTCTTCTCTATCTGCTCTCATCCTTTTAATGCTTCTATATTGGCTAAAGATATCTTCTAATATAAATCAACATACTTGTTTTGTAGACTTGGTCTTTAAAGTCATTCTTTCAATAAAATTATATATATATATATATATATATATATATATTAAAATTAAAACCAAATATTTCATGCTTCAAAGTTCAAATAGTATAGCTACCAAATCAATCATGTATTAAAAATATATAAAAAGTAGATAGGTAGGTCAAAGCTTGTTCTTATATTTAATTTTAGATTGTATTTGGTAATCTTTGCAAGAGCTTACAAAGTCATCTACATCTTTAAATAATCCTTTCTATCAATATCTTTCCTTAATTTTAGTAGAAGTAGTCCAAATTCTTCTATGTTCAACCTAAAGTATATCATGAAATTCTTCTAGAACCTTGTTTTTAGTCATGAAGTATTCTTCTACCTACAATAAAAATTTATCACCTATCTTTGGTCTCCTTCACAAAAAAAACATTTTTAAAAATATAATCACAAGATTGATATCAAATATCCTTAAATTTTTTTATCTATTAAACTTTTTTATTTTTTTATTATATTCAAATAAGTTTTGATATCCTTAAGCTTTTTTTTATATACATCTTCTTAAAATACTTAAATCCTATTTTTAGAACTTACTTTTTCAATAGAAAATGAATATCCATATGTCTTTTTATCTTCATCTTTTCCATCTTCACAAGCCATCATTTCTTCTTCATCAATATATCTAACTCTAGACAATATATCTACTATCAAATTATCTTTGCTAATATTATGGTCGAGAACTAAGTTTTATATTTGGATGTAAGCTATCTATTTCAACATAATAATATTTGAAGTAGAAGAATTATTTACGATGCAAAGTTGAAGTAGATAATCTGTTTTTAAAATCATATTAGTTTCAATTAAATAACTCTTCTTAGTCTTTAAAGCCGTAAGTACTTTTCAAAGTTTATGTTTAACTTGTAGATATGTCTTTTGTTTATTTGTAAGAATTTTGGCTCAAATTCTTATAACAAATATCTTCCTTTGTTAATCATCTTATATAATAGTCCATCCAATTTCTATTGGATTTATATCCACTATCACTACTATTAATCTTTTACATTAATAATCTACTTGTCTAAGGATAGATGGTGAAGTTAAAGCCTTCTTTAAATTTTTTATAGATATTTCATATTCTTCCTTGCAAAGAAATTTCTTATTCTTTTTAAATAACTTGTATAATGGTTTTAAAATGTGGGAAAAATAAGGCATCCAAATATGAACCATTTATTTGAATAGAGAGAAATCGAAGGTTCTAAAATTTCTATATACACTTTTTTTTTTTCAATAATTCTATCAATTTAGAAGGTAAAGCTTTTGGTACTAGAATAGTCTTTAAATTTCATGAAACATGTGACATAGTAAAAATTACCATTAGTGAATAACACCAGGATCTATACAATCTATTCCATTAGAAGTCAAAGTAAATACATTACTATGTCTAATAAATATTTCTTGAAACATCTTCTTTTTTGGTATTGTTAAAAATTTGTCCTCTTTAATCTTTGGTTTAGTCAATGACTCTTCAATGAAGTAATGCTTAATCTTTTTTTTTTTTCTCTTTTAACCTTGGTTCTTTAAATGCTTGCTTGATATAATCTATAGTATTAGATGGTAATTGAATAGCTACCAACTTCATCTACTTGGCAACT